TAAAACAAATCTGTTATATCATCTTATGCAAAAAATATTTCAATGTATGTCAATAACAAGAACTTAAAAATAGCTCTCTGGGTGGCATCTGTATTAGATTTTGCAACTAATTATGGTCTTAAGGAGATTGGTGCTAGCACTCTGGTGATATGTACACCAAAAATTACATATCATATGGAAAGAAAGAAACCCTAAGCCTGGTATATAGAAGCACTGGAAATGGTCTATCAAGTGAGTTCCAATTCGCACCAGAAGATTAAAGTGGCAGGAGTTTTATAAGCCTTGAATTCTAGTCAGAGATGCCTCCACTGCACTAAAGATCTGCATCTTCATGGAGGTGGACACTGTTACTGCCCCAGGCAATAGGGAAAGCTCAAATTATTGGAATGATCTGACCCATGAGGTCTTTCGTTGTGCCTAACTGATCTCTGGCATCCTTAGGAGCAAAACTGATGAGAAACTCCATGAAGATATCACTTGATTTAAGTAGCAGGAAATCTCCAAGTCTGGTGAGCAGAAACTGACCTAAGCTGGTATAACAAAGAAACAACCAGGGTTCTCACTCAACTCCCAAGCTCAAAGTCTCAGTGATGCAAAGGCCAAGTCATCTTGGGTAGGCATACTATTACTGCAAGTCTTCTCAGCCTTCCTCAAAAGAGGCCTTCCATCATTGGGAAACCCCAGTGGCAAAACATATCTCTCTGACTGGAAGGAAATGGACTTAGGAAGGATTTAGCTTGTGTGGACTCATGGCTGGGAACTAAGGGTTTGGCTGAATGGCTTGGGGGAAGGTGGAAAGAACATAATAAATGAAGCCTTTAACTGGATATATCAGAAAACCAAAATATGAGAAGATAACCATTCCATGTAAATGCTGACAGCAACAGTGGCTGTTTAATAATCATGTGGACCTTATTTCCACTGTGTAGATGTCAGTCAATCTTCTTTCCTCCTTATCCTGATGGTTTACTAAGTGGGTTCATTCTAGTGGCAGAAATAGATGCTGAGCCTGGGCTAAACCACAAGACCTTCCCCTCAACCAAGTTAATGATACGGTTCTTTGTAGGAACCAGACAACTACTTGTGGAAAGTTGATTACAATGGGCCCTTGTCATAATAGAGAAGGACAATGATTTGTCCTTACTGGAAAAACCACTGGTGCTGGACATGCATTTCCTTCAGCACCAGACCTCTGCTGGGTCTTGGTGAAGGCGCCTAGACTGCCATTGTGGCATCTCAGACAGCACTGCTTCTCCCCAGTGACCATCTCCTGCTCAATCACAGCTTTCTGAATCAAAATTACAGAGGCAGCTTGGAGACACATCCTCGATGCTGCCATGCAGGAGACACATGCTCTGAACTTATGACTGATGTCACTGGGTAATGCTCACCTATTGTGGGAAACCACTGGTACACACAGAAGTTTTTTTGGTGACTTCTTAACACACTTGAAAAATATTTCTTCACCATCCAATAACTACTCTGTTGAAACTGAATTTAGACCCACAAGGGAGAAGTACTTCCACTGGAGTTCCCAGCCCTGACTCTGCTGAATTAGAACCCAGTAAGCCTGGTCATTATAGCATCTTCTAGCCACTGGGGAAAAAAGCACCCAAGGAAAACATGGATGGCCTTGTGGTCACTGACACCATGGTTTCTCAACTGGACTCATATAATGGCCTTCACATTAGTTTCCCTTCCTCTGCCTTTCCCCCGCAAACTCCTTTCTCTCTGAAGCAGAAATTAGAACCTATCATTCTCCTGCTGGCAATGATTTCCCATTGCACTCAAAATAACCCCAAATCCTCGTGACCTGCAGTGCCCTTCTGTCTAGCCACAGCTGAACCCTCTGACTGCAGCATCTTCTTCTGTCCCTGTTCCCTGAGCTCTAGTCATTCTGGCCTCCTTGCTGAACCTCAGATATATCAAGATTTTGCCTATCTTTGGATGTCTATTGCTTCCTCTGGGACCTCTCCTCCTCCAAATCTTTGCCTCACTGTCTCCTACTCATCTTTGAAATCTCTACTCCAGTGTCACATCCCACTCCTACTCTCTACCACCTCACCCTCATTCATCTTATGCAGAGCAATCACAGGTCCTTGGGTAATCCTTACTGGCTTATGGGATCTATTTAAATTCTAGAATGTGCAGTTTTCCCTCTGTATTTTTGAGGAACTTGTTCCAGGACACCTCACTTACATACCAAAATCCTTGGATGCTCAAGTCCCTTATATATATATAAAATGGCACAGTATTTGCATAGAATGTATGCACATCCTCCTGTATACTTTACATTATTTTTAGATTACCTATACCTAGAACAACAAGAATATCATGTAAATAGTAGTTATAATGGTTGTTTAGAGAATAATGACAAGGAAAAAAGTCTGGGGCTGGGGGTGTAGCTCAATGGTACAGAGGCTGTGTGGATTTGATCCCTAGCAACAGGGGGAAAAAAAAATCAAAGTCTGAGTATATTCAGTATGGGGGCAATCTTTTTTTGAATTCTCTTCTTTTCAGAAATTTTTATTTATTTATTTTTGAGGTACTAATAACCAAGCCCATGCTTCATGTATGCTAGGAAGGGCTCTAACACTGTGCTGTGCCTCCAGCACCTGATTATTTTTGATCAGTGGTTAGTTGAATCTGTGCATGTGGAACCTTCAGATAGAAAGGGCCACCTATTAACTTGTTGTAATACTTTAATTCTTAGCTATATCTCAAATGATAAAAACAGTACCTAGGTCATAGCTGATGCCCCATTAATTTTTATAGAGTAACCAATTTTTGACCAACAGGAAGTAGACAGGATCACCTCCTCTGGCACCGAGCCCTAACAGGTAAGATACTGGGAGAGGCCAGGAAGCAGCCAACGGGAAGACTATCTGTGCAGTTGAAAACTACCACCTACAGCCTTGTAACCAGAAACCCCCCCCCTCCCAAAAAAAAGAGAGAGGTTTCCTTTTATGATGTCATGTACTCATAATACAATAGTTTATTTACTATGCCCTTCCTCTTCCTACTTCCCATCATGATACAGTGTTGCTTAAATTTATCTCAGGCTAAAACCACTAACAGAACTGGAGAAGAAAGAGTTCTAACTCCACAGTCTTAGACTTGGAGGTGTCAGCTATAATTGATGAGTCTTTGGTTTGTCATCCCTAGGTAAGGAGGAGGGTTTTCAGTAATATCTGGAATAGGTGCACCATGATAAGAGTACCATTTAGAACATTAGAGACAGTTTTGTTTAGGTAGGAAAATTTTTTAAAAAAAGTACTGCTTGGGCTGGGGATGTGGCTCAAGCGGTAGCGCGCTCGCCTGGCATGCGTGCGGCCCAGGTTCGATCCTCAGCACCACATACAAACAAAGATGTTGTGTCCGCCGAAAACTAGAAAATAAATATTGAAAAATTCTCTCTCTCTCTTTTCTCCCTCTCTCTCTCACACTCTCTCTTTAAAAAAAAAAAAAAAAAAAAAGTACTGCTTATTTGTCAATAAGAACCTTTGACCACTCAGCTTTCTTTTCTTTCTTTTCCTGTGGGCAGGGGAGCTAAATCCACTGCCCTTTTTATTTTTTGAGACAGTGTCTCACTAAGTTGCTAAGGTAGCCTCCTGAGTGGCTGGGATTAGAGGCCTGGACCACTGTGTTCAGCTTTATTTTCCTTTGTAGCACTACCTGCCCTGTTAGATATTTACTTGTTATTCTCCTCACTAAATTGTAAGTGACTAAAGAGGCTTTGTTCTGCTGACTGCTGTCACATGGTACATGGTAAGCTCTCGATGGTGAATGAATCAGTGAGAAAGAGAGCAAACGTACAACCTGTACAATCTTTTCCTATTCCTAACACCACCTAGATTTCCTCTAGGAGAATGAACCCTCCTCTATTGTATTTGGCCTTGGTGGACAAAGAACTCAAGCACAGAAGGCAAGGAGGCCTGAAGGCAACCCCTCCTTCTCCCTGTACCAGTGCTACCAGGTGGTGGACATGACACCTAGCTCAGAGAGCTGAATCCTCATCTGGGGACTCTGACTCTTGGGTGAATGACAGAGGACAAACTGGACTTCACTCCTTCCCTGTGGATGGCAGAGTCAGTCCTTCTCATGGCTCCTTGGCTCCTGGGAGCAACCCTGATTGCTTTCTACATCCTAGCCTGTTTCCCCAACCATCCCATCAATTCTGGGAGCACTCAACATCCTTCCAATACATTCCCTTTTTGCTTAACCTAGCCAGTTAATTTTTAGTATTTTTCAATGAAAAAAACCTAAAGCTAAAATGAAAAAATGTAAAAGCAACAAAAATAAAAAACTAATTCTACAGGAAACACAAAATAAGCTATTTGCGTATGTTCAGGGATTAGAAGAGAAAGCCTCTACATGTCATTATCAAAACCATTTCCGTTTTCCCTAATTTTTGTAACTCTTTGACCATGTGTGTGCAGGTTGTACACTGATACAGTCATGATATATGCTTTTGGTTAAATTCTGTCCCCCCAAGAGATGATGAAGTCCTTACCCCTGGGACCCACAGATGTGACCTTATTTGGAAACAATATCTTTTTAAATGATCAAGTTACAATGAGGTCATTAGGGTGGATCCAAATGCAGTAAAGTTGGTGTCTTTATAAAGGGGAAATGTGGACACAGGAGTCAGACACATGTACCCGGAGAATGCCACAGGAACATGAAGGAACAAACACTGCCACACTCTGATCTCAGACTTCCAGCCTAGGCCTTGGTTCTCACTGGGATGTGCCCGGTGGAAGGTTAGGTACGCAGACATCACAAGGGGGTCAAACTTCTCCAATTCACCAGGCTGGCTGAAAAAGCACCCACCCCCCCAAACAGCAAATGACATACCCTTATCCTGAGAAGAAACTTCCTCAAGGCCAGGCAAGCACCACCCTGACCCAGAGGAAGAAGAAAAGCAGCAAAATCACCCGGACACTTTGGGCACCTGGCAACAAACAGATGTTTCCATAGGAGGCCACTTTGAGACTCACCATTGGATGCTCTCATCTGCCGCCGACGTCCCACACGGTCTAGTCCAATGGGGGTGCTCTGGGAAAATGTGAAGGGCCTGAGCCTGGCCGACACTGCCTTGTAGGGTGGCACCTGGTGAGCGGGCACGGGTGGCCTGGCTGTTGGCTACAAAAGGAAAGCAAAAGCTATAAGAAGGGGCCAGGAAGTGGCAGCTCCTGCAAGCAGCAGGCTATACAGCCTTCTTACCACAAAGCCACTCACAGATGTGAAACGGCTTCTCCAAATCCTGCCAAGAGCTGCAGGCTGCACTGGGCTCAGTGGCAATGTGTTAATCTAAAACTTTAACAGTCATTATCAGCTCAGAGGCTCCTACCTCACAGGATCACATCTCATCGCATTTGTCAGAGACATGTCAACAGGGAATAGTAAGCAAAAGTGAAGTGCCTGAGAACAGGACTGATTTAGGAAATGATAGAATGCCCACACAGCTTCAGGGTCAGGGTGAAGAAGATGCCTTCCCAAGAGCAGACTCTGGAGGAAGCAAAGATGTAGACATAAGGCCCAGCCAGGGTTACAGATAGCAGCTCTACCCATCCCTGAAGACCCACAAGGACTTGTGGACCTAAAGTCAATTGCTTACATAAAATAACAACAGCTGAGCTTTTATAAAAAGCTGGGTTTTGCCAAGTGTAGTCGCACATGCCTGTAATCCCAACTACTAGGGAGTTGAAGAAGGAGGATCACAAGTTCCAGGTAACCCTCAGTAACTCTCGTGAGACCATTTCAAAAAAAAAGTGGGAGATATAGCTTACTGGTAAAGCACTGCTGGGTTTAATCACCAGTAATGCAGGGATGGAGATGTGACTCTGTGGTAGAACGCTTGTCTAGCATGTGCAAGGCCCTAGGTTTCATCTTCAACACTGAAAAAAAAAAAAAAAAAAAAAGATGGTTTCCTACATATTTACCCAGGTCTCTTTGGAATCATCTATAATGTACCTTCCTATTTTCCATATGTATGACTCCTATAAGTATGCATCAAAGGCTCACTTGGTTTGTGCTTTCCTTGGATTTGACTGAAGAAGTTATTTGTTTGTTTATTTGTTTTAGTGCTGGGGATTGAACCCATGGGCGACTTACCACTGAGCTACCTCCCCAGACTTTTTTAAATTTTAAGGCTGGGTCTCACTGAGTTGCTTAGTACCTTGCTAAATTGCTGAGGCTAGCCTCAAACTTGCAATATTTCTGCCTCAGACCCAAGTCACTGGGATTACAGATATCTATCACTGTGCCCAGCCTTCCTTAGGTTCTTTTTTTTTTTTTTTAAAGATAGAGAGGGGGGGGGGGGGGAGAGGGAGAGAGAGAGAGAGAGAGAGAGAGAGAGAGAGAGAGAGAATTTTTTTAATATTTATTTTTTAGTTCTCAGCAGACACAACATCTTTGTTTGTATGTGGTGCTGAGGCTCGAACCCGGGCTGCACGCATGCCAGGCGAGCGCGCTACCGCTTGAGCCACATCCCCAGCCCTTCCTTAGGTTCTTAAAGAATTTTTCTACCCAACTCCCTAAGTAAAATTATGATACAGAAAATTATTTTGCCATACTTTTTTTTTTATAATCTGTAGTGAAATATTTTTAAATGCTTTAGATTGTCTCTATACTGCACTTCAGGTTATAATAGAGTACAAAGTATTTTAGTTCAAATTATTTCCTCTAACTGGTAGAGTATCTTGGAGAACGATCTTAGAGATTTTGAGATATTCTTCAATTTGACTTGCTTTTACCTTAAGAATTCAATTTAACTCAATTGAGTTAAATAAGAGGTTTTGAGTGCTTGCTGCCAACAAGGCATTGTGCTGGGACTTCACAGGGAGAATGTCAACATTAAATCCAAAACCAATATAGAATTTCCCTTTTAAGAGAATTTATGTATTATTTAAGACATCATCCAGCAGGTTTTAAAAATAAAATTGGGCATATACATTACTTAAAGACTGTTGTGTGAACATTTGACCACAGCCAGGATATCAACTTCGCCAAACACATATAAAATTTCTTTAGGACTGCATCTTTATTTAAAAGTCTTATATACTCAGAGTACACTGGGCACTTGATAAATATTTGTTGAATTTAAAATATACCAAGGGACCAATGTCAAACCAGTTGCAAATCAAAAAACAACCAAGAAAGAAAGAAAAAGAAAAGGTAAGAAAAGAGTAGAGACTGGAGACGTAGGGGGGTAGCTCAGTAGTAGACCACTAGCCCAAGCACATGTGAGGCCCTGGGTTCCATCCCCAGAACCCCCTCTCCCCCCACCCCCCACACAGGATAAAACAGATTTTCTTTTAAATGTGATAAGAGGTGCATTTTTTCCCCTACCATTTTGTTACCATTTTTTTTTCTTTTTCTTTTTCTTTTTGGTATCAGGGACTGAGCCCAGGGGCACCTAACCACAGAGCTACATCCCCAGCCCTTCTTTATTTTTCATTTTGAGACAGAGTCACACTAAGTTGCTTAGGGCCTCACTAACTTACTGAGGCTGGCTTTGAACTTAAGATCCTCTTGCCTCAGCCTCCCAAGACACTGGGATTACAGGTGTGCAACTGGCTCCTTACGTTTTTTGTTCATTTGGGGTTAGAATCCATGGCCTTGCATATACTAGGCAAGCACTCTGTCATGGGGCTCTATCTCCAGCCCTTCTATTTCTTTTTATTTTCTTTTATCTTTCCATTTTAACAATAGACCACTCTCTGTTGTATCCTGTTACCCTTCCCCTGGTTAAAATCTCAGGTTGAGAGCTTTCAAATGAATTTAAATGCTCTTGAGAAACTTTGCATAAAACTTTTTTTTTTCTGAAGAAGAAAAAACCCACACTTTTTATTGGAACTGTTAACTTAGCTTGAAAGATCTATTTTTAAGACATAAATTGCATGTGTACTCTGTATAAGATTAGCAACATGTACATTTCTAGAATGACCTCAAGATGTCCTCCTTGTTCTACTCTGATATATCTTATAGTTTACTATTTTACTTAGAGTACATAAAAGTAGCATGTGTGTGTATAGGTACTACAAGAAAGTTAACCAAATTAAAATTTGGAAATCTTATACTCCATCTGTTATCATTTAGTCCAATACCTTTTTAGGTATATTTAATTTAAAATTTTCAACTGAGCCTATATTGCTTTTTTCACATGGGTTTTACACTCTGTACAATATATGGAATTTATTGCTTTCGACTTTGACCAAACTTATGTTTGCTATAATTGAATTTAAATAAACATCTTTAAAATAAAAAAAAAAAAAGAAAGAAACAAAAGGCAAACCTGTTTCACAAATCATTAGAGACCTCAGGAAAGAAAGATTAGGAAAAAGGTGAACAGGTGTCAGAGGGTTAGTTTGAATTCAAGCAAGTTTTCAAGCAACATCAGGAGGAAAAGGCTGTGAGGAGATGCATCATCTTCCAGGAAGAGAGAAGAAAGCAAAAGCAGCTTCCGGTTTAGTTTGCAGTGAGAGAACAAAGGCCTGGAAGCTGGAAGTTCTTTGCCGGCTGTGGTAGCAACACACCAAATCTTACTTGGGTTAGAAGACTCTCGATTTCCTCTGTTTGTTTGTTGCCATAGAAGGTGACCCCTCCTATCACAGAAATGGGGCGTCTTCTCCGACCTCCTTTGGTACAGCTGGCTGAAACATTCTTGTCTGCAGAACCAGTGGAGGACATGTTCTCCAGGGGGGGCCCATCCACACAGTCCTTGCTCTGGGGGTCCACAGCAACGGAGTCTTCAGGAATGGACAAACTTCGGCTGGCCAGCTGGCCATAGTCAGACAGTGGCCGCGGTCTGGACCGCTTCCCGGAGCCCCATCTCCTCCTGGTGATCCTGGGCACCTCTGTCCTCTCCTCATCCTGGGATGAGCCTGGCCTCCAGGGATCACCAGTCACAACCTTTTCAAATGTGAACATGTTAGGTGAGCTCCAAGATCCAGGAAGGTATTAACAAAGAACAAGCTATCTGTCTCCTTCCCCACTATCCTCCTCAGCACCACTTGGGGCTGCCTTGATTTACTTGTTTACAATTATTATTTGTGTAGCAGACAATGAAGATACAACTAACACATGTATTAGAAGAACCAAATCCATCTGTCATTTGAGGCTAATTTAAAATTGTAATTTAAGTAGTGATATTTTGAGGCTAATGGTAAGGTACAATAAGGCATGAAGAAAGTGAGGCCCTGGGGGAGGGAAGGAGGGAAGGAGGGAAGGAAGGAAGAAAGGAAGGAAGGAAGGAAGGAAGGAAACGGTGGCCAAACACCACTACATTATAATAACCACAGTTAATATTAAGAAAATCAGCACCATTTTGAGTTAATAAAATGAACTTATAACTATAGTTAATGTGTCCCAAATATACAAAATAATAGCATGGAGGAGGCGCAAACCTGAAATGAGTGTGTAAAGCTACACATGGCTGCCCCAAGGTATTTCTTTCAAAAATGTGCACTATTTAAAAACAGAAGACTAAATCCAGGGTGTTAGCTGCTGGACCTGGCAAGGACCTGCTGCTGGAGCTGGCAGCTTCTGGGCAGCAGTTTGATGGGGGAAGAGCACTGAACTAAGATTGAGAGAACTAGATCAGGTGACTAAGTAGCTGCGTAATCTTGGACAAGTCACAACTAACTTCTCTGGATCTCAGATATTAGACTGGACACATCTCACGGCTCAAAATTTTGTGACCCTCAATAAAGCAATACCTTCTTTCTTTTTTTGGTCACAATGCAGAGGATCAAACCTAAGGCTTTGCACATGCCAGGCAAGAACTCTACCATTGAACTACACCCCCAGACCCCCTTTTCATTTTTGAAACAATTCTTCAGAGTCAATGAAATGGTCAGAAAAACACAAGAGGTTTGAAATCAGGCAGACTTCTGTGCTAGTCACTGTCTGGGCAACCAGCTAGCCTTGTAATCTCAGGGAAGTCAGTCAATGTCTCCCATTTGGCTCCCTAACTATACACAGGGGAAGAATGGGTCCTTGCAGGGATGAAATGTGATAATGGTAATAGGCCTTATCAGCTGGAGTTAGTGATCACTCTTACAAAGCCATGTATGTCCTATCCCCTGGGTTTACTCCTGCCTGGAGGTAGACAGATGCTATCTCAGCAACTCCCTCAAAGTCTGGACACTTGAGTCCAAAGACCTGCTGGAGCAGAGCCAGCAGCAGACCAGCCTGCAAGTCAGGCCTGATGCCTTCAGTTCTTCCATCCTGGGGCAAAGGAAAAAGGCTGTCATACCCCAGGCACAGGGAGGACAAGGAGAACACCCAGAGACAGTAAGTTGGTAAGGCAGGCAATGGCTGAGGATGTAGCCTCAGGCATCCCCACCCTGTCCTTACCCACAAGACTGGCTGGATCTGAAGAAAGCTAAATGGTGGTGGCCCAAGAAGGCACACCTCCTGCCAGTGACAACAAAGATCTGAATCGTAGGCCCTAAGATTTCCAGTCTGATGAGTTTGAACATTCAAGAAGATCATGCACCATGAAAATTTGATGAAGTGCCAAGGAAGCAGGAAGGGATTAGTAGATATTCTATTTCAACCTCCTCATTTTTCAAATTAGAAATATTGAGACCTGAAGATGTTCAGTGACTTGTCCCAGTCACAGAGCCAGTTCGTGGCAACAAAGACCCTGAAAGGTGAACCTCATAATTTCTGTCCCACAAGTTTTCCAGCAGTCTCACAGAGGATCCTAGCAGTCTTCACTTACCCTGTTATCCACCTTTTCTTGTTTGTTTGTTTGTTTGTAGTGCTAGGGATCAAACCTGGGCCTTTGTGCATACTTGGCAAGTGCTCCACCACTGAGCTATATATACGCCAGCCCTCTCCACTGATTCTCTCTCACTGCTAGAATGCTGCCTACATCAAGGCACTACGAAGGGACCCAGATTATGTTACTAAGTAATAAGAATTATTCTGAGTCCGAGGCATTGAAGAATAGGCTTTGTTTCTGAACTGTTACCTGCCTAAAAGCAGAGGTTCCCAAAAGGAAAATCCATGCCTAAATAGACATCTATCTTGTCTCCCATTTCTTCTCCTAAAAGCCCATTTATCTCTCTTAAAGGACATTTGCTTTTCCTCTAAATTCCCTTCTCCCCCTCCCCTTTCCCTATCAAGATTGTATATAAACCTCAAATTCCAATCACCCACTAGAGCCACATTTTTCTGTGAATACCTACAAACCTACATACACCAGAATAAAAAATCTGTTTTGCTAATCTATTGTTTGTCAATTTAATGCAAATTAAACACTCCAAACACAGCACCTAAGAGGGTAGAGGAAAAGTTTTCCTCCTCAATGCCACCATGGAAAGATATAAGCAAAACCATGAAAGTTGCAATTATTTTCTGAATTACAAACAAATATTACAACTGGTATATACAAAATATATATAACAGATTATACACAAAAAATGATAATGGATGTCTGAAATAAATTATTAAATAAACTGACACTCACAATTTAAGTACATAGTGAAAATAAACCCACTTATAACACTGCAATAAAAAGGTTCAGAAATAACATGCTAGAAAAACAGAAGTAGAACAGAATCAGAGGTAAGAAATAGTCTATTCAGTGCTGTATGTGAGGTTTTATTTGTTTTTTGTTTGTTTGTTTCCTTTTGTCAAAGGAACTTAGCTTGTTTTGGCACTTATGCAACTTGCTATTTTTTTCTTACTGGTACTGAAAATAAGGAAATACTCCAGGAAGTGATCAGGGCTAAATGAAGGTAGGTGTGCCCAAATCAGGCCATTACACAGCAGGTGAAGGGGCACAAGATTATTCCTTCAACACATCACACCTCAGTGTCAGCTATTGTGTTTGTACAGGGGACACATATAAAAACAAACTATAATTTGATTTTTCAGTGCTTATACAGTTCTACTGAAGATACAAACGAAGCGTTGATTGTTCTAGGAACTGCAAAATTTAGTTAACAGGACAACACGTAACTAAAACAGACATATCCATTTCATGCCCAGTGAAGTACAGAAAGAAGGATGTAAGCTTCAGATTAAAGCTTACATTCACATATTTGATCTCAGGCAGAAGAGAGTTAAATCCCCTATTTAAAAACAAAACAAAACATTCTGAGGGATATTCTAAAACTAAATCCTTTTTTGTGTGTGTGGTTCAGGGATCGAACCCAGTACCTTGCACATGTAGGCAAGTAATCAACCACTGAGCTAGCCGCATCCCCAGAACAAACTAAATCTTTGTTTTGTTTTTAGCAAAATTCACATACTTCAGAAATACTGCCCAGGCTCATTCCAGGGAGTACAATTTGACTGAATTTTTGTGAAACTGAAAACACAGACAGCAACAAACTTCTACAATCTGAGAACCTACCTCTGACTTGGCCATGGGCAAGGGCAGCCCACAAACACACTGGAGAAACAAGCAGTTGACCATGTCCATGTTCTCTAGAGTTTTTCTTGCCTTTAAAGCCCTGTAATCAGGAGCTTACATGGCCAAGCCAGAGCCCTGCCTGGTCCAATCCAGCAGTCTCAGCTAGGATCATTCCAGGGCTCTATAAGCTTGAGTGGCCAATTCACACCCAAGTCATAAACTTTTGTAAACAGACTTTGCAGTGTAGTCACTGCCCTTTTAACTCTTACTTCTCTGTGTACTTTTTTTTTTTTTTTTTTAAATATTTATTTATTTATGTATCTTTTAGTTCTTAGGTGGATACAATAGTTTGTTTTTATGTGGTGCCGAGGATCGAACCCAGTGCTTCATGCATGCTAGGCGAGCACTCTACCGCTGAGCCACCACCCCAGCCCCCTCTGTGTACTTTTAATGTACTTTTCCTAGTCAGTATGATACACTTTCTTTCTATACAAGATTTCTTTTTTTTTAACTTTACAAAAATGCAAAGTTAATATAGGCTGTTATCTCCAGCTAGACATTTCAAATTCTTTTTGAAATCATGATAAGAGCAAATTATGAACACAAGAAAAATAAAAAAAATTTTATAAAGCACCTGGATTTTACATGCATCTCTTCAGAAGCCTGACCCACAGTAATCATAAAGGATCGATCAGCAAAGGTTGTGGGTTGATAGTGTCCCCCCAAAGGATATCCCCAAGGTACATGTGAATGTGATGTTATTTGTAGACTGGAATTTTTGCAGATGTAACCAGTTAAAATGGGATCACCCTTGATTAGGTGGGACTTAATAGCTGCTGTCCTTATAAGCAGAGGGAAATTAGGGAGGGCACAGACAAATAGGAAAGGGAGCAAGCCATGAGAGGAGCAGAAAATGAATTGATGCACTGACAAACCAAGGTACACCAAGGCTCACTGGCTACTGCCAGAAGCTGGATAAGGCAAAGGATCCCCCTGAAGACCTTGGCAGGGATCTTGGCCCCGCCCATCATACTTTGATTTTTGAACTTGCCTCCAGAACTGTGAAAGAAAAATTATCTGTTGCTTTAATCCATCCAGTTTCTGGTAACTTATTTTGACAACCATAGTAAACTAGTACAACAAGACAATTCAGAAAGAGATATTACAAGCAAGGAAATTAAAGATGCATTGTGAAGATTAAAAAAAAAAATTGAACTAAAGCAAAGGGACTGTGATAGGAAGGGCTTTCCCAAAATGCATATTAATGCAATAAGCTAGCCTCCCAGATTTCCCGCAGGGTTCAACAGCCCCAGATGCCATAAGGAATTCAGGTATTGTTACAGAGATGGAGGTGACAATTAACACTGTAGAGGATGTAACAACAATAGGAATAAAATTTGAAGGCCTATAATGTGCCAGATCCACGCCAAGCCTGCACAAGAGCTTACTGAATCTTCACAACTAGGAGGCAGGTACTATTTGACACATTTTACTGAATTAAGACCTTGGGGTTAAAATAAATAACTTGCTCACGTTCGTAGAG